CTAACTGAGGAAATACATTGTGTCTTGTCATTATGGGTATGTCTACACTTGCACCCTCTTTCAAGAGAGGGATACAAATGCAGACATTCAAAATTGCAAATGAAGCCAGGATTTAAATATCCTAGTTTCATTTGCATTTTCAAATGACTGCATTTGAGTCCCTCTCTCAAAGGGTACAAGTGTAGACATACCCTTTCTCTGTGTTATCTGCAAAGCTGATGGCATTGGATGCTCTCCAAACTAAATAAAAATATTTTCAGTTTAGGAAAACATTTGAATTTATTCAGAATTTAGTTAGCTCTAGTAAACCAGGGTTCTGTGAAAACAAATGTGGTTAGTAGCCAACTTTATAAGAAGTTAGAAGTGTGTTTGTAAAATATGTTCTTTTTAAATCCTTTTCTATTGCCACAATTATCTGGACAAAATAACCAAAAGCTTTTAGTTTCTGAAATAGAAGTTTATATCAACCTACTTCCTGTGTTAAAAATATAGGTGGTTGTATAGCCACCTTGTGCTCCAGGAGAGCAAAATCAAACTCTGTCCCTGTCAGACCTATATGATGAGTAACTGGTGAATTAATCAGCTCTATGTTGGGCTTGAGGTTGAAAAGCCTCCACTGGATGGAATGTATCTAAAGTATCTCAAGGCAAAGCCATAGAGAGATGCTGACATTAAGCTTCAGGATAGTCAGCAAAGCAGTAAGCTTGGTAAACGACCCACATTATTTTCCATACCATCAAGTTGCAGTGCCAACAAGTGGTTTGAAAACTCCTAAAATAGACCTTTCTTGTTCCCATGAACCACAGCACATAGGTCACTAAACATTTTTGCCTTTTCTATCCAATAGGCAGGAAAAAAAATCGATGCTCCCCTTTATAATCATGTCTGGGGGGTATATTTGAAGGACACCATTTATTTGTTTTGTTTGTAATTCCCTAGCTATCTTGCCACCCTGGTTGATGGAATGGAGAGAATCCCCTGTGTGTTTGAAATACTTTGTACCCCTCATGGGTGGACTACTTTCTTTTTTACTGCCAGGAGCTGCCTCTTAAAGATTATTCCCTGTAGGGATTGTAGTTAGTTCACAAACCATATAGGGGACAGTTGCCCACAAAATGTAAGAGCATAATAATGCCAAGAAGCCCATGTAATTGTTAATCATCTCTCTAGTACTATATCATATAATATCTGTGCTGGGTAGTGCCATGAGAGAAGACAGAAAACATTTCTTAGAATCCAGTTCAGATGTGTTTCATTAGGGATGTTAGGTATTGTGTATTTCAATAGTCATATAACCAGATGAAATTGTATCAGGCGTATGACAGCTGGAGCTGGCACACGAGAGGAACCAATTTAAAAATCAGCTCCTCATGCAGACTGGCTGCCTGCTACCCCATGTTGCTGCCTCTGATACTGAGGCGGTAACACACGACAGCAACAGACCCTCTATATGAGGAGTCCGAGTTCCCTGCGGACAGAGGCGCCTCTGTAGGATGCGCAGCAGCCTCTGTCTGCATGGAGCTTGTATCCCCTGTGGACAGAGGCTGCTGCCACAGAGCAACCTCTGTTTGCAGGGAGCTCAGGCACACCACAGACAAAGGCTGCTTTGCAGCAGCTTCCTCTGCTCCCCCTGTCCCAGCACAGTGTGGGGGGCAGGGGGAGGGGGAGGTGGTACCAGGGAACTGGTGCTGGGGGAAACTGGCTTTTCAGCGGGCTTCCCCCAGCACTGGCTCCTGCCTGCTCTCCCCTGCCCACTGCCTCTGTAGGAGGCACCAGGGGGACACGCGGGTCCACAGGAGCTGATACATGCGGGGAGCTGGCTTGAAAGCCGGCTCCCTAAGCATATTGGCTCCAGCCTGCCCCCTTCACCCTCTGCAATGCTGTCTCTCTATCAAACGCAGCAGCGCAGGGCTGGGGGGCAGGTGAATTCAGTGCTCATGGGGAGCCAGCTTTTAAGCCAGCTCCTCGTGGGCACCAGCTTCCACTCCACCCCAATCCCTCTGCCTCTGATACAGAGGCAGCAAGGGGAGTGATGCGCGTAGTCTGCAAGATTAACCAATTAGCCTAGGCTTATCGGTTAATTCTGTATTCTTCTGCACACTGGCATCCCTATATTTCATACCAATCAAAAAGAGGAGTGGGTATTGATGGTTGAGGAGTGGAATTTCTCTTGAAGAATTGGATTTCCAGTGGATAAGGGATTCCTTTATACTAAGTGTTTGTTTCTGTGCTAAGTGTATTCAGGTTGGCAGCAATAAGTAATCTATTATTTGGTAGTAAATGACACAGGGATTTTCTGACCTTTTGTTCATCCAGATTGGAAATATAATGAATTATATAGGTTTGAGTTAACACTGGCATTTTTAATATTATACAATTTTATTTTTCTCATTTTCTTTTAAATAAGGAAAAGTTATTTATTCCTTCTAATAATACAAGTAATAGGGATCACCAAATGAAATGAATAGGCAGCAAGTTTGAAACAAACAAAAAAAAGTATTTTCCCCCATAACCTGTGAAATTTCCTGCCAGGGGATATTGTGAAGAACAAGACTTTAACAAGGTTCAAAAACAACTAGATAAATTCATAGACGATAGGTCCATCAATGGTGATTAACCACGATCGGCAGGGATAGTGCCCCTTGCCTCTGTCAGGGCTAGAACTCGGCAACGGATCACTTGATGATTATCTGTTCTGTTCATTCCCTCTGAGGGACCTGGCATGGACAGGACATGGACTGGATACTGGACTGGATGGATTTTTGGTCTGACCCAGTACGGCCGTTCTTAAGTTTTTAATCTCCCCAGACAAGTTTATTTCCTAAAAATTCTGTTTTTATTCTGACAGATTTATTCTAGTTACAGCCAAGGATTTAATCTGACTGAATTATAAATACAAATGGGCAAGTACAAAATCAAAGGCCATTCAGATAAGACAAGGCACTGCTTCTCTTTAATTGATACTTGATCTATTAATAATCGGTATAAGTTTGGGATTGATCAAGCATGGTGGAGGTATTCTCATCTTTTAACCTCAGCTTTCACTGTGCTGCATTGTAACCTAACATGGCAGGATGCAGTGTGAAGCAACAGGCTACAGTTTGTGAAGAGGAATCAAGAGAATTCTCCCCGCCTCCCATGTCACTGTAGATGGAGTGTCATGTTATAAATGAAGTAGCCAGATGTAAAAAGCATTAGCTGAGAGAGGATTAACACTACTGTATCACTGAACTGGTAGATTCAATCTAATTACTCTAATTTAATTTGGGCAGTTTGACACATCTCTAGTAGAACTGTAGCCTCAGGCAAACAATTTAATAAGGGATAGAGAGGAGTAATGATTTCTGAAGAAGGTGCTGAACATCTGCAGGATCAGTGGTTCCTTAGAATATTTTATACTCTGAAAAAATTAAACTTTTGAAGCTAGAAATTGTCATGAGTTTGGACCCTTCTCTATGAAATCTGTAATTTCTGGATCATAGTAGTTACTTAGCTCAGCATTAATTGGTTTTACATATTAAATCCTAATTCATTGTTAAATCTTAACATGCAGCTATTGCCCCTATATTTCTTTGACATACTGCACTATCTTTTGGCTCTTTTGTTGTAACCAGATCAAATTTTCTTTCTATATCTGATTGAGAAGAATAAATGATAGTAACCTTAATGGTTTCATTGACTTCTAGATTCTTAATCAAAATTCCAGCATTATTCCTCTCAGAACTGTAGAAAAAGGAGTTAGGGCCAGATTTTTAAAGCTATTCTGGTGCCTAAAAATGCAGATAGCGCCTAATGGGATTTTCAGAAATCCCTTACTCCCAATTCACAGTAGACATCTATTTTTGATGACCATATGCCTTTACAATTCTTGCTCTTCATTACTAGCAGAGAAGTTAGTGTCAGTAAACAGGCTGGGTTTTACAACAAAGAGAATTGAAGGATCTGCCCTAGGCTGATGACCATTGTAACTTGTTCACTAGTTCTTCAGGGCAGCTAATAAGTTTTTATAGCAGTTTCCATGCACCTTTGTGTTTTACTGTTGAGCTGAACTTTAGCTTTTTCACAATAAAATATATAGATGGCATCAATATTTCTAAGGTTAACTACAGTCTGCGATGATAAATTTAACTTAGTAAAGTGTGTGTCTTGAATGTAGATATATGAATGATGCCTACATAACCAATGGAGAATTACAGTACTTTTAATAGTATTGACTTACGCCAGTGTTCCCGGCTTATCTTTCCAGAGTTTTTCCTACTTAAAAAAGTCTGACAGTGAGAATCAGTTTGACATTTTTCTTATCTTCAGGCAGGCTGTATAACTATCTACAAGCTTGTAAGATATTTTGAGACTAAGAAACTGTTTCTACTTCTTTATTCTCCTCCTGTCCCCAAGATATGTATTATAGAGGACCTAATGAACAAGGGTCCCCAGTCTCTGCTGCCTTTGGGCACTACTACCATGACACAATGTTGAATAATTTTAAAATTCCATTTCTTTCTAATGCAGAATCTAGTATATATGCAAAAATGTTTGCAAAATCCAGGTGGATCTGAAACATAACAGAATCTTTTATTAATCCCTATGTGATTTGAAAACTAATGAATGAAAGGTATTTCTATGGTTTGCCATTCAAACAATGGCTAAAATCTAAGAAAGTATGATTAGCTATCCCTAGCTAAGCACTAGAACTTCCAGATTTATGTGTCCATATTATTTAACACGCTATCCTGCCTTCCCATGTAGAAAAAGAGCTTCTCCTGGTTTTCCCTTTCTTCTAAGAACAAATGAGAAGCTGTAAAAGGAAGATGCCTAAATGTAGCTGTCCATAGGTATCGGTATATTGGAGTGCAAGGTTTTTTTTTAACCTGTAGCGAAATACTTTTTTACATGCTGTGCTATATGAATAATCTAGTAAAATTGGGAGTGTGGTGTTTGCTATCAGTACTATTCATGTTATCTTTTGTGATTTAAGCTAATAATTTTTCATTTTTTTAAAGTCAATTGACCCTGGCCAGCAGTTCACGTGGGAGCATTCTAACCTGGAAGTAAACAAACCAAAGAATAGATATGCGAATGTAATTGCATATGACCATTCTCGTGTTCTACTTTCAGCAATAGAAGGTAAGAAGATCTTTAACAAATTAAGCTAATTAAATATTAAATGCCAATGTCATAATTTTACCTCCTCTTGTCAAATAATAGCTATGAATTACTGTAATAATCCATCCTTTTTCAGAGTTCATTTGCAGTAATTAAATAACATGAAGCATTAAAAGCTAGACAAGGTCATATGTAGTAAGAGGGAGACTTCTTGCTCAACCCATCTGCTCCTTGTGTGTATGCCAAATCTTATCTACTTATTTTTGACAGAAATTGTCACTACTTTTCTACTCCTATCAGCACGACCGTTAGGGAGTGTGTGATGGTTTCTTGCCTGGCTCTCGCATAATCAGCATAATGGATAACTTATTTTCATTTGCCAAATCTTCAGTGCTGCTGATAACACACAAACTAAGTGACTGGGCAACAAAATGGCAGATGAATTTTAATGTTGATAAATGCAGAGTAATTGAAAAACATAATCCCAATTAAACGTATAAAATGATGGGGACTAATTTAGCTGTTACCTCTCAGGAGAGATCTTGGAGTCATTCTGGATAGTTCTCTGAAAACATCCACTCAATGTGCAGCAGTCAAAAAAAGCAAACAGAATGTTAGGAATCATTTTCAAATATATAGATAATAAGACAGAGACTATCTTATTACCTCTTTATAAATCCATGGTACACTCACAGATGTGGCTGCCTCATTTCAAAAAAGATATCTGGCATTGGAAAAAGTCCAAAAAAGGGCAACAAAAATTATTAGGGGTAGGAACGGCTGCCATGTGAGGAGAGATTAATAACACTGGGACTTTTCAATTTAGAAAAGAGGAGACTTATGGGGGGATATGACAGAGGACTATAAAATCATGACTGGTATGGAGAAAGTAAATAAGGAAAAGTTATTTACTTGTTCCCATAACACAAGAACTATGTGTCACCAAATAAAATTAATAGGTAGCAAGTTTTAAACAAACAAAATGAAGTACTTTTTCATGCAGTGCACAGTCAACCTGTGGAACTCCTTGCCAGGCTGATGTTGTGAAGTCCAGGATTTCAACAGGGTTCAAAAAAGAGCTAGATAAATACATGGAGGATAGTTCCATCAATAGCTATTAGCCAGACTGGGCTGGAATGGTATCCCTAGCCTCTGTGTGTATCAGAAACTGGGACTGAGTATCAGGGAATATTTGGATCACTTGATGAATACCTGTTCTGTTCACTCCCTCTGAGGCATCTGGCATTGGCCACTGTCAGAAGAAAGGGTACTGGGCTAGATGGACCTTTGATCTGATCCAGTATGGCCATGCTTATGTTCTTACACCCAAAAGAACACAGCTTGATTTTCTCATCCCAGGGGGATTCTGCAGAACTGGCTGTTAGAAAATCCAAATTTTTACTTGTAAACTGAGCAGTTTTTTTCTCAGAAGCCATTGACAGATGATAACTGAATTTCAGGTTTTACTGGAAACTCAAAATGTAATTGCCTATGGATGAAAGTATAAATGACAAAGTTTTAATTGTTGCTGTCTTTGACAGACTGCTTTGCAAAGATATTATCATTCAGAGGTCTGCCCTGTGCTGAACTTAGCCATCCAAGATGATGAGCTCTACAGGGTTTGTCTAGTTTGCCAAGTGCTAAAACAACAGGCGTCACTGATTATCAGAGGACTTTTTTTCCCACTAGCCACCTCTCACTATCTACCCAAGCTGCTGCTTAGAATGGAGGAAGATTTTCATTTTATTCTACACAGCTGGCCACTATGTATTAGAGATGTCAGGGATATAACTAATTAATACATATTTAAGTAGAACCATTTAAATGAAAATTAAAAAATACCTGTGGTAAGATTCGATAGATCTTATATATTGAACTGACTTCAAAATTAAAAAGGGCTTTTCAGACTTGTATCCTGTATGCAAAGACATAGTTTCTTCATTCTTAACATGCTGTATGTTAAATTGTACAGTGTTTTAATCTACTTTGCGAGCACCTTACCTTTGACTATTCAAAACCCACAGATGTGGGATATAGCTGAGACATTATTTATAGGTGTTTTCAGTTCTCTGGTCTGCTATGTGCAGCCCAGTAAATGCTCACTGAAGGAAATCACAATTTCACTGGTTCAGCTTTACCTTTTTTGCCTAATTTATTGCAGCTGCATATTGTACGCTTTGCTAATACAGACAGTTTCGCAAGTATATTAGAAAATTTAAATGATTGCCTTGAAAATTTGCATATAATAATCATCATACATTTGTTCCACCTATGGAGCTCATTTAACTGGTATTGATTAAATTTTTCAGTGGTGTCAGTTACACTTCCTCACATTGCTTTATAGAAATATCTAGCTAACAACAAGTTTACTAAAATTGGAGTTGTCTCTGATTATGGTTAGATTCTCATGCTGTTACTTTGTTGTAGTTTAGTACAAAAACAATGATAACTCCATTAAAGGAAGGTCGGTAAATAGTTTATTTTAAAAATATGCTCTTCTGAATTGTTTAAAAATACTTTTGAGCAAATGATAAAGTCACAGGTCACTAGTTCTAAAGCAAGGAAGATGATTTTTCCCTGGGTGTTGGCTGGGAAGACAGTTCAGAGACAAAAGAGAAGAACATTTCATTTCAAATAAATCTGTTTGTCGATCATAATGAATTTGCTACTTTTAAAATCCATTTGTTGACTCATCATGAATTTGCTACTTGTAAAACATTGGGAGGTAAACGCAAGGTGATAATGCTCGTTTCAATTTCTGTCTGAAGAAAAACACCATTTGGCAGAGTTTTGCTCTGGTGTGCAAGTTGAATTTCATCTCTGATAATGTGCTGGTTTTCGATGTGTCTGGGAGCGAGATATGTAAGGAGAGCAGAGGGTGAAGCTCTGTAGAGCTAAAAGGGAGCAGAATAATTTCAGATAATACCAATGTATTTGTGTAGATTTGAGAACAAAAATGTGCCCAATATTTGTTAAACACAGACAAAATTAGTACCAATAGAAAATTCATTTTAAACTTCAAGACTGTGTCAACATTGGTGCAATTTTGCACAAAAGTGGCACTTTTGCGCCAAAACTTGCTGCCTGTCTATACTGGCCTCGAGTTCTTGTGCAGGAACACTGACGTTCTAATCTATGAAATCAGAGCTTCTTGCACAAGAACTATGATGCTCCCACTCAGGAATAAGCCCTCTTGTGCAACTGTTCTTGTGCAAGAGCCCTATGTTTAAAATGGCCATTAGAGCTTTCTTGCGCAAGAGAGCGTCTACACTGGCACAGACGCTCTTGCGCAAAAGCATATGTCTTGTGCAAAGGCACACGCCAGTGTAGACGCTCTCTTCTGGAAGAGTTTTTGTACAAGAACTCTTCCAGAAAAGAGTTCTTGTGCAAAATCGTGCCAATGTAGACGTAGCCCAAAAGAGGGTTTATAATAGTGGGAAAAAAATAGTTTAAAAATGCACACATAGAAAAGGCTCCCGGTTCTTGTTAGGAGGCATCTAAGTCTAAAAATGTGTGATTTGTGTTTAGACTTGCATAGTAATAGCAATTGAAAAAAAAAGTATAAATAATATGTCATATTGTATCTACTTGATTACTTATCTGTTGGCCAGTTAGGCACCTTTAAAATGAGATTGTGTATTGTAATAAATCTGTGCATATAAGAAAAATCTTGGGAAAGAAAAAATGCAAGAATCTGTTAATAGTTTTATGTTGACTATATTGGCATTCACTATTTATGTCATAGTCTAAAGCTATAGAAGGTATTCTGACAAATGTATATTGATAAATACTTACTGAAGAGTTAAGGACTATTGCAGTCTCATTACTTGTGCTCTCCATCACATGACAGTTATATCATGTTCTGTTCATAAAACAAAATCAAATGTTTAGGGTGATTTCCTGTCCCTTCCCATCTGCAAGCTACGTGCCTGAGACACGTAGAACCATTGCATAAAGGGAATAAAGAGGATGCAGCGAGGGCAGGCAGAATATCTGTCTCTAGATTTGAATGGATATCTCTGCAGCAAAGCTGAGGGGAGTTTGAGAGTGTAACCAGCCTGGATTACTGATCCATTTACCACCCAAAACTGCTCAGTTAAGAAATAAGCAGGGTTGCAGATGCTACTGGAGCTGGGAAAGTGATGCTATATAGTGATTCTCGGTCAGGGCTTCAAAGCCCTCTGCGGGAGGCAGGGGGGCTGCAAACCAGTGTCAGGGGGCCATGAAGCAAGGTTAGCATTAGATTTGCTGGGGCCCAAGGAACAAAGCTGAAGCCCTGCCACTTGGGGCTGAAACCAAGGGCCTGAGTCCCACACCCCAGAGTTGAAGCCAAAGCCTAGGCAACTTAGTTTCATGACATGGAGCCTTGGGCAATTGCCCTACTACCTATCTTCTAGCACAGCGTTGGGCAATATTTTTTATGGGGGGGGAGCCACACCAAGGTTTTGGAAAGTGGTCAAGGGCCACACTCATCCATGATATTAATGGAGGAAGTGCAGGGTCTGGGACTGAGGTTGAGTGCAGAAGAAAGCTTGGAATGTAGGAGAGTGTGTGGGGTCTGGGCGGGAGTTTGGGTAAAGGAGGCAGTTATGACCCAAAAGAGGGTTTATAATAGTGGGAAAAAAATAGTTTAAAAATGCACACATAGAAAAGGCTCCCGGTTCTTGTTAGGAGGCATCTAAGTCTAAAAATGTGTGATTTGTGTTTGGACTTGCATAGTAATAGCAATTGAAAAAAAAGTATAAATAATATGTCATATTGTATCTACTTGATTACTTATCTGTTGGCCAGTTAGGCACCTTTAAAATGAGATTGTGTATTGTAATAAATCTGTGCATATAAGAAAAATCTTGGGAAAGAAAAAATGCAAGAATCTGTTAATAGTTTTATGTTGACTATATTGGCATTCACTATTTATGTCATAGTCTAAAGCTATAGAAGGTATTCTGACAAATGTATATTGATAAATACTTACTGAAGAGTTAAGGACTATTGCAGTCTCATTACTTGTGCTCTCCATC